TTTTTTTTTTTTTTTATAAACTAACTCGGACGCATTTATAAGAGACAAGTTGCTTTTATTTTTAAAAAATGCTACGGATTGATAAAAGACAGATTTTCATTCTTATAAACCTATATAAAATATCTTTAACCTTTTTTATTGGTTAACAAATTAACTGAAAATGATATGAACCATTTTTTCACCTTAAATAAAAGAATTTTAATTGATATGTACCAAGTTATTTTCAAGTTGTTGTATAAAATACCAAATTTCAATTGGTATGAACAAAACTAATTTTGGACGTATCATGCTAATTTTTTTACCAAAATCTACGTTGACTATCCATATTCCTAATTTTTTTTTTTCTTAAAACCAATTTTCTGCAGAAAGAGTTTTGCTATGGAGCCAACTGTTGGCTCCATAATGAAGCCAACTAGTAAGTAAAAATGCCATATTTTATAATTAAATAAAAAAAACACAATCAACAACTACTTGATAAGAAATATAACAATATTGAAAAAGTAAAAGTTATTATATTTTTAATTTGAATGGAAATACTACAAAATATTTGTAATATAATTTAAATCATTTAAAAATTCTTTGAATCATTTTAGTTAAACATTTAAATTAATAATAATATGTACAACTAAGTAGTTTATATAATTTGAAAAAATAGTACAACTTTTTGTAGTATTTTTTTTTTAAATTTAAATTAAAAAATATAAGTGTTTTATTTTCATTGTGGTTGAGTAGTTATTAATTGTATTTTCTTATTAAGTAGTTGTTAACTAGAAATAATATTTTTCTTATTAAGTAGTCGTTAATTGTATTTTTTATTAATTAGAAAATATATTATTTTTCACTTGCTATGTATAGAAAGGTTGACTCCACTATGGAGTCAACTGTTGGTTCCATAGTATAACTCTTTGCAGAAAATTAAAAATACATGTTGAAAGATTACTTTTCTATCTTCTCACTTTAATTATCAAATCGATATATTTTTCTTTCAAATTTATTTGTAACATCTTCCTTACACAATTCATCTAATGAATATAGTGCGGTGAATGATTTTGAGTTACGTGTTCAAACTCAACCTCTGATTAATAAGAGATTTTATACATCGATCCATACATTGAAAGATATAAGTGCTATTATTTTTCCTAATTCGAAATTATAGATTTTATGGTAATCAGTTTTTTTTTAATAAAAAATGAAAAAGAATTTTGATGTTTACAAATTTTTTTAACAAAAAATGAAAAAGAATTTTGACTTTTACAAAATTGTAAACATCAGTTGTAATTTACCTAAATTAAATTTTTGAATTTAAGGTGCTTATATAGTTGATCGATTTTTTGGGAATAATTTAAAAAGAAAATTCAAAAACTGCCAAAAAGTAGAATGTAATAAATGCTAATTGACTTTTATTATTACTATAGGTTCTCTCTTTATATACATATAGAATAGATATAAATTAATTAAATAATATTCAATATTTATACCATGACTCTTTAATACTTTTTTTTATATAATTTACATAAAATATTTAACAATTCTTTTTGTAGGTATTTCTTGGTGTACTACGTGGTTATTTCCACGGCTTTTTACATGTACAATTCTTCTATGCAATAGTCGCTTGCAAGTATTGTTGGACCACGACGATCGTAATGCATACTGATTCATGGGGAAACTACAAATAGTATAATGGCACAAATTAAGGTCTTTCTTGTGTATCAATAGAGCCATTATAATGCACGATTGAATCTAACGACATTCGCATCTTTTTCTGCTCATTGATATGTGGATACGAGGGACTTATAAAACATATGTATTGAGGGCATTGTCGTCTGCATTGAGATCCGACTGAGAAATACTATTGACTACTATATAGCATGCATCACTTTTACTTTTGGTGGTGGACCTATTGCGAATTCTCGATTAAAATCCCACTAACCCATAGTTTTAAATGGCGAATGGCGAGGCGAGGCGATTGGCTGTGGCGAGGCAAATCGCTATGGCGAGGCAAATCGCTATGGCGAGGCCTCGGCAACACCAGCCATAATATATATATATATATATATATATGGAAGTACCAAAAATAACCTTAAATATCCTAAAAAAAAATAATATAAATTAAATTTAGTTATAACTACTAAAAGCCTATAAAACTTAAATGTACTGTGTAGTAAACATAAAATAGAAAAAAGTTAAAGAAGGTAATGTAAAATAAAAGTAAATGAAAGAAAAATGCTGCACCTTTGACTATTGACCATACTAGTAAACATAAATAAAGTAAAAAATGAAGGAAGAAGAAAAAAAGACGGCAGAACGGGAACGAGAAAAAGAGAAACGGAGAAGGAAAAGAAAAGAAAAAGCATGCATCACCGACCGTCTTGGCGGTGGCGAGATGGTGACCGGAGTTCAGAGGAGGCAGGAAATGGGATGGGTCGGCCATGGGTTTCTGCAATTTTCAAATCCGAGAAGCCTAAGGAGTTCTTTCGTAGAAACCCTAGTTTGGGGAGAAGCCATTTAGAGATTTTTCACTGAAGGTTTTTTGCTTTCGATCTGTTTTAATTTTATTCTCTTTCCAAAAAGTGTCGCTTCTCTTTTCTTTTCTTTTTTTTCAAATGGACTGCCCCTTTAATTCCTCTTAAAGGCGGTGAAGCGCGCCTTACAGGCGCCTCTCGCCACGCGAAAAGGCGAGCAGAGGTGACCTGAAGCGAGCGCCTCGCGAACAGGGTCGCCTCAGGCAGTGGCGAGGCAAAGTGGCCCTCGCCTCGGTGCCTCGCCTCGAGGCGTCGCCATTTTAAATTATGCACTAACCCATAGCCTTCATATCAGCCACCAAAGTCCATTATCGAAATATATAATACATTGTAGGTTAATCATTTGGGATGAAATTCTGATGATAAATAAATATTGCTTTGAAGTGGTGGATAATACGTTGCGAGTTATAATGGATCTTTCATGAAGGAGAAACTTTCCATTTGCGACAAGGCTATTGTATTTAATGGTGATTTTAGGTATATGCTCCTGCGGTCCCTATAGGTAGTCGTAGAGACAATGTAAAATCAACAATCAATGCATTCAAGATACGGTGAGATTGTACCATTCTAATACTTACTATGACTATGAGGCTTCAAATCCTTGGCTGGTAAAGAGTATGATGAGATGTGACGCTTTTTTTTTTTGAGTGACTTGCAAGCACATGGACGATACAATTGGAAGTTCAAATGACAGGTGTGTGACTATCGACATTCAGGTTGACATTATTCTAAAATCATATGGGATTCCTATTACAACTATTGTCGAGAGTACTTATATAATGGTTAGGCGTTCAATTGACAATCTTAGCTTCCTAAAGGTAAAGGATAGAGCAATACTTTCTCCATCGATAGAGGTCGTTCGACCAGATGTTGACATTTACTCAAAAATACTCCTGAATTTCTCAATAGATACTAGCTCGGGAGTGCCAAATCAAAAATTGCAAGTTTGACACTCCAATAATGTTGTTGAGGAACATAGATCATCTCATGGGGGTTTCGCAATGTTTGGTGATTACTAAGCTCTGCAGTCATGTCCTAGTGTAGATTTTAACGGGAATCTAAAGTCTAAAGTCATTGATAAAGTTTTGATCCCTCGATTAACAATCACTTGATCCCTCGATTAACAATCACAACATTGGATAAGAGTTAAAGACAATCTCTTTCGGTTATTGACAACAGAACGTGGCTTTATTTAGAGATACGCATCGGAATAAGTTGAAGATATTAGTTTGTAATGATGAGAATTTTGCTTATAGCAAAACTATGAATACTATATACAAAGAAGTTTTTTTTATTAATTATTCAAATAACTATATATTTCATAAATTTGTTAATTTTTTTTAATATAACTACAGTATAGTAATTAATAATTATATTGTTAAATTGCTTATGCCTTTATTTTTTGGCGGTTCATTCATAACTAGTTTCTGTTTAAGAAGCAATTAGCAATCCATCAGAAATAAACTCACTTGCGATCGCAAAGCACCAGAGAACCACCATCGAAGCAGATAAAGCACACGTCCTCTTCCTCCTCATCCTCCGCCATTTTACTCCGCTTGGGCTGCGGAGGCGGAGGCTTCACCCGCTGCTGCCCCTTGGGTGGCCGCCCTCTCTTCCTCTTCCCTACGGCGCAGATCTCCGTCCCAGGCGCCGGCGCCACCACCGCCTCACGCAACGGAGCATCTTCCGGAATCACCGCCTCGTCTTCAAATCCCTGAGTCTGAGCCACGACAGCTAGCAAAGTATCGATGTTTACCATCGATAAAGGAACGACCACCCGGAAAAACCCTAGAATCCCTCGATCGTTCCACAGAAACGAATCGCACAAGAGACCAATTCGACAACCATCGAATCGCAGCAAAAATCGGAAGGTTGCCGGCGGATCTCGTACAGTTGGCTCAACCAGTGATTGAGCTTTGGGTTAATGGAGGAGGTGAAAGTAGATTTTTTGGGTAATGGTAAAGTAAAAGACTTTTCTTTTCTGTAATTTTGATTATTTCGTACTTTGTTTATAGCTAAAAGTCTTTTTTACTGACACTGTGACGTGGTTGAGTAAGCGGAAGTCTAATTTGTTGAAAACAACATGCGAGGCCATTGGTTATATCTATTTTGGGATCAAAATATAACTTTATAATATTATTGTTTATTATGTAATGATCAATGATACAACATATGATAGGTACAGTAGTATGTAATTAATCTTTTATTCTTCGATTTTCATTAAAAGTTGCATCTTACTCAAACTAGTACTCAAACTACACTCATTAATCATGTGGACATGTTAATTTGATTATATTAAGATAAATAAAGTTTAATAATTAACAATATAAATGATATGGGATACCTTATCAGACCGATTAGACCCGAGAAACCAGCAACGGGATCGGGGTGAACATGTAGGCCGATCGGTGCTACAGGACGAATAGAGTTCTCATATATGTAGACAGAGATGCTACACGAAGAGGTATCGTTGACAGGTCGAGCTAGGGCCCTTAGATGGCCTGTTATAAACTCAACCTGAAGGTATGTTGGTCGAATGATCGACCTACGAGACATTGTACACGAGTCTAGCCAGGAAGACGATCCGACTCACGAGAGGTCGAGTCAGTCATATGGTGAAGTGAATAAGATTTCACCCGGGCTCCTTCAACTCGGACGGCCTCCGCACCTGCAAGAACCCAACGCCGGGAGGGGTCCCGGCGTCAGGCCTCCGACGCTCAAATCAGAATCACTCTAAATCCGAAGGATATATTTATGAATGTCGAGAGAATGTGTGAATGGGATACCTTAGCCCCCTTTTATAGGGGGAGTGTACCTTATGGCCCAAGTTGGGCTTGTCCAATAGCCTCATGTCACGTGTCCTAGCCATGTGTAGGCTTATTCTTCAATATATTCCTTTTTTATCCATTAAAACCGGTCCAGTATAATATCCTATATCATCTAGTCCCCCCACTCTGGTCGAGTCTGAATGACTCGATCTAAGAGTGAAATTCCTTTTCGGGCTGTTTCTGTTAACCTGCCACTGAGCTTATAATTTGAATAAATTCTCAACCACCAAATAGTCACCAAACCTCTAAATGAGCATCGGGACCCCAAATGAACACCGAATGACCACCGAGGTCGAAGATCGAGAGACCCGCCACTGGGGTCGAACACCAAAAGCTGAACGACCACCCAGGTCGAAGATCGAGAGACCCGCCACTGGGGTTGAACACCAAAAGCTGAACGACCACCGAGGTCGAAAATCAAGAGACCCGCCACTGGGGTCGAACACCAAAAGCTGAACGACCACCGAGGTCAAAAATCGAGTGACCCGCCGATGAGGTCGAAAAACAAGAACTGAATAACCGTTCCCCAAAATCTTGAATTTGAAAATTTGAACTTATGTATGTTGTATTTCGATCACCATGTTCGAACTCTCTTAGACCACCTCGTCCTATCGCCCCCACTTCAAAATTTAAAATTCCAGCCTGTTGTATATTTTCTCAAAATCCGAATGACCTTCGTGAACTGCTCTGAATGAACTCCCTCGACATGCCACCAAGGTCGAAAAATAAATTCGACGAAACCAAGAATCAAATAAAGATAATCGACTTGCCACCGAGGTCTGCTCGAACTATCCGTAATGAACTCCATATCCCTTTTTCTGAACTCGAAAAATAAATTCGACGAAATCGAGAATCAAATAAAGATAATCGACCTGCCACCGAGGTTTGCTCGAACTATCCGTAATGAACTCCATCTCTCTTCTTTTGAAGTCGAAAAATAAATTCGATGAAACCAGAATCAAGTAAAGATAATCGACCTGCCACCGAGGTCTGCTCGAACTATCCGTAATGAACTCCATCTCACTTCTTTTGAAGTCGAAAAATAAATTCGACGAAACCAGAATCAAGTAAAGATCATCGACCTGGCAATGAGGTCTGCTCGAGCTATCCGTAATGAACTCCATCTACCTTCCCTTGAAGTCGAAAAATAAATTCGACGAAACCAGAATCAAGTAAAGATCATCGACCTACCACTGAGGTCTGCTCGAGCTATCCGTAATGAACTCCATCTACCTACCCTTGAAGTCAAAAAATAAATTCGACGAAACCGAGAATCAAATAAAGATAATCGACCTGCCACTGAGGTCTGCTCGAGCTATCCGTAATGAACTCCATCTACCTTCCCTTGAAGTCGAAAAATAAATTCGACGAAACCAGAATCAAGTAAAGATCATCGACCTGCCACTGAGGTCTGCTCGAGCTATCCGTAATGAACTCCATCTACCTTCCCTTGAAGTCGAAAAATAAATTCGACGAAACCAGAATCAAGTAAAGATCATCGACCTACCACTGAGGTCTGCTCGAGCTATCCGTAATGAACTCCATCTACCTACCCTTGAAGTCAAAAAATAAATTCGACGAAACCGAGAATCAAATAAAGATAATCGACCTGCCACTGAGGTCTGCTCGAGCTATCCGTAATGAACTCCATCTACCTTCCCTTGAAGTCGAAAAATAAATTCGACGAAACCAGAATCAAGTAAAGATCATCGACCTGCCACTGAGGTCTGCTCGAGCTATCCGTAATGAACTCCATCTACCTTCCTTTGAAGTCGAAAAATAAATTCGACGAAATCGAAAATAAAATAAAGATAATCGACCTGCCACCGAGGTCTGCAATAGGATCCATGTCTTCACCGACCCAACGCTAGGATCGATCACCCAGCCCGGCGGCCTTAATCATGGTGGATTTTGTCTTCAGGCACTTGCCCACCCAATCCAAGGAATGTTCGAAACAGGAAGCCACTCAGCCCGAAGGCGAGGGCTTTTTCGACCAACCTGCCCATCCCAAGGGGTGTACAAAACAAGCGACCACCTAGCCCGAAGGTCTTAGTCATGGTGAATTTTGTCTTCAGGCACTTGCCCACGCAATCCGAGGAATGTTCGAAACAGGAGGCCACCCAGCCCGAAGGCGAGGGCTTTTTCGACCAACCTGCCCATCCCAAGGGATGTACAAAACAAGCGACCACCCAGCCCGAAGGCCTTAGTCATGGTGGATTTTGTCTTCAGGCACTTGCCCACCCAATCCGAGGAATGTTCGAAACAGGAGGGCACCCAGCCCGAAGGCGAGGGCTTTTTCGACCAACCTGCCCATCCCAAGGGGTGTACAAAACAAGCGACCACCCAGCCCGAAGGCCTTAGTCATGGTGGATTTTGTCTTTAAACAATCCGACTACTTTGACCTGCCACGGAGGTCGACAAGTAAACACACCAAAGACCACGAGACAGAATAGTAATTGATCATTTTCGTTAGTCTCATCAAATGCATAGTTGTATCGAACAAGATATAAAAATAAAAAAAATCAAGCATTTTTTCGACCTCCCTTTCATGTCTGTACACGACGACCTGAGTTGTTATTTGCTTCATGCTTCCCACTCCTCACCATAGCCAATATCCAGGTCACCTGCTCATGCATTTTCCGAGCTCCTTAGTCATGACGACTCAAGACTAGCCAGCCCGAAAGCCTTAGTCGTGCCAGAGTTTGTTCGAGGCTCCACGTACACCTCATTTTCTGCATTTTGTTAGTCACCCGAATAATAACTCCAAACATATCCACATACACCATACTATCAACAACATTTCACCGAAAATATTCAAACAATGAACATTTCTCCCAAAAAAGAATGCTAAGAGACTCCACATGTCACAAAATAGTGTCAGTCGATCTTGACCATCGACAAGAGTTGAGATTAATTTTATACTTGAAGGTCGAGAATGTGGCTCCCAATTATCATACCTCTCCAGAAAAGAATGATTTCTGCCTTTGCAATTGCCACCACCGATCGGCACCATCCAGACTCGTCCCTCATTGTCACCCTGTTTTGATGGTTCCGTGTTCGCTCATTTTGTCCTCGAAATTTCACAACTCGTCCACTATAGCTTGTCGAGACTCGGGTTATTTCGGTGTTTCCCCGACAAGAATTCAAAGAGATATCGTTATCCATATTATGTTCACGTCATCTATTTTGCAATTCTCCACGCAAGAAAAATAAGAGATCAAATACAATCATCACCATCTCCTCAATTTAAGACATGCTCGAGCAATGACATGCTTAAACATTATGAATAATCAATTCGAACAAAATTCCACACTTTCACATAAAAATCCAAATGAGAGACTCTGAATATATCAAGATATCAAATCATATCATCCAAATTCATCTCCTCGAGTCCATAGATAAATGCACCAAGCACACGATAAAACACTCGCTAAATATCTCCAACTCGACATTACGACCCGCATTTATTTTCAATCAAGTAAGTTCTCCGCCAATAGGTCAAATAATATATCCACAAATAAGTCGAACAATTTCTCCATGAGCAAATCAAATAGTTCCATGATCAAATCACATGATTCTCCACGAATAAATCACATAATTCGCACGATTGAATTTAATAATTCCTCGAACCAATCACATATCTCCACAAATAAGTGAAATAATCTCCACGAATGTAACAAATGCACTACACATATACATCAAATATTCTCCACAAATATATTTCAAATAAACTCCATGAATATATCGAATAATGCTCCATAAATAAATCAGATTTCTCCGCGAATAGATAAAATAATTCCTCGAACGCATCAAATAATTTCTCTCGAACAAATAGAATATCACCACGAATAAATTAAATAATATCTCGAGCAAATCAAATAATTCTCCTCGAACAAATTGAATAATGCTCCACAAATAACTCCAATATTACTCCACAAATAAATCAAGTAATTTTGCACAACTAAATAGAATATATTCTCCACGAATAAATTAGTCCACTCTCCAAATAATTCCCCCACTTTTCACCAATTTAAAAATTCTTCGGTCTCCAAATTTAAATTAGTCACATACCTTTGGCACGAGAAATACTATTCCAAGTTACCTCACCATCCATGTTGAATTGTCCCGAAATAGCCTTGGGCTCGAACTGGGACTGTTAGACCATTTTTGCTTCAGTTGGAGGACATTTGAACACAAAATAGGCTACTCATGAGCTATTGGGCTGCGTTGGAAGGGTTTGCACACGTAATGGGCTCGCTGGGGGAGGCTGAGCTCAAACGGACCG